GATTATTATAAAAATAGATAATTTATTAGAAAATAAATGTATAAATTATATTTACTTTATTTAATAGTTTATATTAAAATATGATATGTAATGTATACGTTCATAATAATATAATTTATAAATATAAATCTTTTTATTTCACTTTTTAATACACCAATTAAAATGTAATGTTTACATATTTCTCAAAGCCTTGTTTTCATAGATTATTGTAATAAAATAAAAATATAAATATTTATTAAAAATGTACTATGTACAATATATTTTAAAATTTCTTTAAAATATATTGTACAAAATGTTTCATAATTTATTATTAGAAATTTCATAGATTATTGTAATAAAATAAAAATAAAAATATTTATTAAAAATGTACTATGTACAATATATTTTAAAATTTCTTTAAAATATATTGTACAAAATGTTTCATAATTTATTATTAGAAATAATACACAAATTAAAATTTAAAGTTTACATATTTTTCTCAACACCTTGTTTTGCTTATTATTATTATTATTATTATTATTAAACAAATGTGCAGCATATTATTTATAATAAAATACAATTATACATTTTTCATTATAAATTGTATTTATTTTAGTTTATATAAAATGTAGTGTATAATGATTTATAATAATATAATTTCAATTTTTTTTGTAATAATGTTTTTCATTAGTAATATATTTCAAAGCCTTTGTTTGCATAGCACCAGACAGCCTAAAGGAATGTGTGTGTGATGCTTTCCAGTTGACTTTAAGAAGACTGAAAGATCATGAGATCAGAACAAAAGCATCTGCCATTTCACTGCACGTCCTCTTTGCTTGTGAAAAGAAGTTAATTCTTCCTTTAACATACTCTTTGGCATGTAAAGTTTACAGCGGTTGTAGGATAGCGGTGTGTGCGTGTGGACATCAGGTCTCATTTTGCATTGTTTGTGTGGCATTGTTTGGGCAGACGATCTGCTCGGTATATCTGCTGATCTGTGTTGCTGTGGAAGCGGATCTGGTAACTCCTCATTGGACCACAGAACAGCTCACGGACGAAAGGCCGAAGTATCCCAGCATGCAGCTTTCCACCATCTGTCACGGGCCCTTTGTTTGGGTGTGGGTTGAGCTGCTGGTCTCTGGTTACTCATAACACGCAAAGATACACACACACACTCACACATATTACAGCTTTAAATCACGTTCCCATCCTTTGAATTTCAACTATCTGATACTGTGTAGCATAAGACTGATGTCCGTTACGGTGGAAAGGCGCATTGACGTGATCGATGGCATCTGTCTCCTTGCGTTAGGATAAACCGAACGGTTTGGCTCATGATCGGAGTTGTAGAATTTCCCATTTTGCTCGAACGGACACGGATGCATGGAGCCGTGGAGAAACCCGCAGCTTTTAGCGCTCGGAAATCAATTTTATCAGTCCGACCCTGCTGTCCTGCTTTTCTTAAAGACCTCTAGATTATTCATCCATGTGGCAGGACACACACTCTCTCACACGCACACACACACACACACACAAAATATCTAATACCCTCTCGCTCACAAATGAGACGGCTGAAGAAAGAAAGGTGAATCCCACACCTCTTTGTACAGGCCACCGCCCACATATCATTTCTCCTCACCATCCACCCTCCCCTCCTTGATTTAGAGACTGGTGTTTTTAACACGACGCCGCACATGCTCTCTTTCTCTCTCTCTCTCTGTGCATCCTGGGACGCTGACGGTGGTGTGACTGCCAGTGTCACCAAGCAACTGTGTCTTGCGACAGGCGAAGCCATCTCACGCTTCAGGAAAGCTGCTCCAGCCAATGGCGACGCAGCACTGCGACCAATCAATGAGTCATAAGGGCCGGGGAGATGGATGTATTTGGACACTCGTTAACCACAATCTCACGCCCTTGTGAAAATAGCATGTATTCCGCGTCCTGTGTACTTACCGGTTGTAGGAATGAGCGTTTATGCCACTGCATCTGGGAATTAGCAGCGATATGAGGTCAAAGGTCGCTGTTCCCCTGCCACAGGTCACCCGGAGGGTGACAGGCCTGTGCTGAGCGTGCCCTGGTTGAAGAAAATGGAGTCTTTGTGTCGGTGTGGTTGCTGGCGCGCTCTGATTAGCACTGATCCATGCTGACGACTCTGTTGGCAGATTAGCATGGCTAGCATTGGCCATCTGTTACCACGGGCCATAACAAGTGAGAAGTGTGGATCATGTGCGCGTTTGGAGAAAGATACACAGCATTATGAATAAACACACACTCTATGCCCAGTCTTTCTCTCTGATTTTCCACACACACACACGCACATACAAACTTAAATCACACACACTCCCAAACACAGCAACCTCAGCAGTATATTTCACTGCCTCAGGAGTGTATGATTGATTTTCAGGGTAAATTAAATAACGCACAGCTTTATGTAGTATCTCTCTCTGGAAGCACGTTCATGGGAATCGAGTTCGCGTTTCTCCCGGCTGGCTGGAGAGCTGAAGGTGTCGTCCAAATTGCACGGACTAAACGTATCCCGCAAAGCACCCGGATCGCGATTAGCATATGATTCACTTATTCACAGGATCCGGGACCTGCTGTTTTTTCCAAGAATCTCATTGGCCGCGTGCACCAAGTCAAATTAATTATGCAGCTCACGGAGATTACGATGCCTGCCTTCCAGTGCCACAGTGGAAGATGGCTAATTAGCTATAAAATCAGACTAATTCTGATGCTAAAGCTGTTTTAATTTCTGATAATTAAGTCAGGATTGGATCCTTAAATACCCCAGCATACCATTATTGCAGTAATCATGGTTGTTGTTATGAATTATTTTGAAACCCTCGTCTGTTAGCATTGATATTTAAGGTAATCATGCTAAGTGAGTAGCTGGAGATAAGTAGATGATATGACCTATATACACTACCATTCAAAAGTTTGGGGTCAGTAAGATTTTTATTTTTTTTTTGTGTGAAGAAATTGATACTTTTATTCAGCAAGGATGCATTTAATTGATCAAAGGTGACAGTAAAGACATTTTTGAGGCTACAAAAGATTTATGTTTCAAATAAATGCAATTCTATTCAAACTTTCTATTAATCAAAGAATCCTGAAAAAATGTATCATGGTTTCCACAAAAAATATTAAGCATCACAACTGTTTTCCACATTGATAAAAATAAGAAATCTTACTTGAGCAGCAAATCAGCATATTAGAATGATTTTTGAAGAATCATGACTTTGAAGACTGGAGTAATGGCTGCTGAAAATTCTACAAAAAAACAAGAATAAATTCCATTTTAAAAAATATATTAGAATAAAATGTTATTTTAAATTGCAGTGATTTTTCACAATATTCTTTCTGCTGAAATTTTTCCATCACAGGAATAAATTACATTTTACAATATATTAAAACAGAAAACATTTAAAAATTTTAATATGTTTTAAATTGTATTTATTACACTCTATTGAATTATATAATATAATTTATTTTAAATATATAATTTAAATTTTATTTATATTTTATATCTTATGTTTGAGACATGGTTGTGCGTTTTAGAAAATTAAAGTCTTTGCTCAGTCTTTATAGCGTTTTCTGTATGTACGTGTTTTTGTGTGTATGAAGTGACTTGCAACATTCTTTTCACTTTCACTTTTATTACTGTGTCTGTGTTAGCATGTCTTATCTGACCGAGCGCCCTTTTGTGATTTACATCACAGCAATTTCACCCAGAACATAAATGTATATTCAAGCATTGTGTATAATTCAATCATTGTTTTCCACTGAGCACTGAGCAGCATTATTTAGGGTTGAATTTCAAGCTTTAGAGTAATCTGCCATGAACTTGAGTTGGCAGGGTCATGACATGGTGACCTTTGACCTTTGGAGGCAGGGTATGAGTGAGGGGAAATGGTTAGGAAGCAGAGACAAGAAAGCGAAGGACAGGTGGAGCGAAAAAGAGGCATAACAACCGCAGTGGCAGATTGTGGCCTCTGCCGCTGTTTACGCCAATTTGCAGACACTTTCATTGTGTGTGTGTGTGTGTGTGTGTGTGTTTTTCGGCATTGCTCTTGGGTGAGGGCTGTTAGTTGATATTCTGTGGACGTTTCCATCTCTGAGATCTAATCGGTGTGTGTTTGCCTGCATGTGTGTTTGTGTGTGTGTGTGTGTGTGTGTGTGTGTAGCAGAGACATACAAGAAGGAGAGCCGCTCAGGGGACAGGCCACGAGTGTTTATATATAATGACAGAATAACAAAGCTATGTGTGCTATACCGTGGCACTCTCTGCCGCTTCCCACAGCGAAATCTACTCGTGAGATTAGCATCCAAGCTGAAGATTTCCAAACACATAAACAGTTCACTTGTCTTCAGCAGTCAAGTTTTTTTCTGCTTGAATCACACACTGACGGCTGCTAATCGTATTTTCAGGCGTTTAAAGTACGTGCGGATATGGTATGTTTTGAGGAGAGAAAAAGAAATTCGAGATTGCTTGTGGGGTTTTGTGTGTGTATATGTTGGCTGTGTGCGACTGTCTTTAATATGCGTCTCTCCAAACTGTGAAATCTCCACAGAAACAGTTAAAGGAATAATTTGCCTGTTAAGCACATCAAGTGTGAGAACGCTTGTTTTACGCGGTGTAAAAATGGCTGTGAATAGTCTTGTAAATCAGTGTGCTGCTCACTTTGTGTGCGCGTGTGTGTGTGTGTGTGTGCGAAAGTCTGTGAGTGTGTCTCTCTTCTATCATATTGAAGGAGGTCTAAACAGTGAATGAATGGTTAACGTGACAAGCCGAACAAACCCTCTGCCCAAACGGGACATTAATGTGTGGTCCTGTAGAAATATGCTTGTGGGGTTGGTTCATCTTGCAAGCAGACGTGTGCGTGTGTGTGTGTGTGTGAAGGAGAATGACTGGTGTTAAATAGAAATATTGTTCATGGCAAGTGAAATGTGAAAGGAAGAGTGGCAGGCTGTGTGTGTGTGCGAGAGCTCGCTCTAATTATCGATTGGATTGTGCTTGACAGATATGGAGTCTGGAGAACGGCTGGCCTCGCCTTCCACCACCCCGGCCTCCGTCCACACCGCCACCTCTGCATCGTCATCTTCCTCCTCTTCCTGTTCCTCATCCACAGCAGCCTCCAATGTGAAGAGCAGCCTGAACCACGCAGCCACGGCCTCGCTCGGCACATGCGGTAAGAACTCTTGCGCACACACTCTCTTTCATGCCCTGACGCAAGGGTTGCTTATTGTTACAGTGTGAAAAGTGCTTAGTCAAAACTCACGCACAATCGCACACACACACACACACACCACCGAGTGTCGCACGGGCATGCTTTGAGCTCATCTCCAAGTTTAGACTGCGTGGTTGGTGGCAGATTGGAGACTGATGTCATCAGGGACCTCTCTTCCTGTCTGATGAAGCATCTTTTTTTTTTTCTTTGAGTGACATGTGATAAAGCGCATATCTTCTCTGCTGATTGAGTCTTGTCTGATAAGGCACAAGTGTTCACTTTCTCAGATTCTGTTCTGGTAAAGGGATAGTTCTGCCAAAAATGAAAGTTCTGTCATCATTTACTCTTCCTCATGTCGTTCCAAACTCAAATAAAAAATTTTCTGGGGAACACAAAGGGAGATTTTTTGCAGAGTGTCCAGACTGTTCTTTTTTTGGAATTAGGACTGGAGCTGTCAAGAGCCAAAAAAGACAAAAAAAAAAGCATCTTAGAGGTAGTACATATAACTCTTTGTTAAAGGGTTTGCTTGACACGTGAAAACAGACCTTGTTGGTTCTCGTGTGTCAAGCAAGTACAGTTGAGGTTCCATTTACCATATGTGATGTGCTCTATGCGTGTGTTCTATATTAATAAAACTAAATAAAACTAAATTAAATCATATGAAGTGACTGTCTCTTCTTAAGATTTGGATGGTAACACTTTAAAATTATTAATAGTTAGTAAGTTAGTTGTTAAGTTTAGTTACAGGGTGGATTAAGGGATCTAAAATACGGTCATGCAGAATAAGGCATTAATATGTGCTTTATAAGTACTAATAAACAGCCAATATGCTAGTAATATGCATGCTAATAAGCAACTAATTAATAGCGAGAATTGGTCCTTAAAATAAAGTGTTACACCATTTGGATTAGACCACTCCATTCATATAGATTACTTTTACGATGTCTTTATGAACTTTTTGATGAGTGAAATTTATGGTTATGTGAACTTGGACAAAATTATGAGAAAATATCAAAAATATAATCTGAAGATGAACTGAAGTCTTGTTGGTTTAGAATGACAAGAGGGTGATTAAAATTAGGGCTGGGCAAAAAAAAAATCGATTTTCCGATTAATCGTTTTTTAAAATGACGTCGATTCGATATCGATTCTCAAAAGCCGCGAATCGATCTTTTACAGTATTTATTTCAGCACACATTTAAAACAAGATCTGATTAATGTGAATCTTATCATTAGTCTTCTCCACTAGATGTCACCCTTATTTACCTTGCGCGGTTACAACAGAAAGCCTGTCATTCATTCAGCGCTTATCATGGCCATACGCACAATTTGCAATGCTTAGGTGAAATGCTATAGTAATACTATAAATCTGCGGAAGCATTTGATATCACGCATAAGGCGCCATGATTTCCGCAATGAATGAATGGCGGATGGTGCGGCGCACTTTTTTGTTTACTACACACATACTAAAGCGCGGATGACGCTCGCGGTGTTTTCAGCTTCTGCCGTCTCACTATATGATGATATGAACACGAATGTCATCTCCAGCTGCTCTGAGGTCACTTCATTAGCATTTACCGTTTCATTTGAAAAATCTACCGTCATATCACATACACAGCAGCTGCAAGTTCTTCACGGCAACCCGTCAAAATAAAAGTTTAGTTTAACGTTCTACTGTCAGAATATATTACTATTTAGCAGTCTTAAGACTCAATGCTACTACTGCTAATAAATATTAATAAATCTTTATTTTTAAAGGAATAATCACATCTGTTTTCTTTATAATTTTAACAGTAAACCTCTGTTGTGCAGCACTTTGTTTGCCAAAAAATAAAAGGGTTTAATTTTCATTTGATTAGGATAAATTAAATTAATGTTTTATGCCTTCACCTGATTACCAGAAAAATTAAGAACATTTTATAGGGCCCTATTATTGTTTAAAAAAGGACCCTATACAAAAAAAAAAAGAATAGGTTTAAAATACAGGCATGTGGTTCTTAATTTCTTTTTATTAATTCACCATTTGTAAACTGATGTTTACTGTTCATTTTTTAGAAATATCAATAGCATTTGTATTAAAACTATATTCACTGAATGTAATAAAAAAAATCGAGAATCGAATCGAGAGCTTGCGAATCGAAATCGAATCGGGACATCTTAATCGATACCCAGCCCTAATTAAAAGATGATAGAATTTAGATTTTTGAGTGAACTATCCCTTTATGTCATTTGAAGACAAACTACAGCTTTATGTGAGAAAAAGGCCGAAATTAAGTATTTTTAAGTTATTTTCTGAAAATATTCCCCACATAGGTTTGGAAATACATGAGTGTTAGTAAATTATGAACTATCCCTTGAAAGTTAGTGTAGTGCAGTTGCATGGCTGCCAATAGCAAAGCTATTTCTTAGTAACAAAGTGATAATGTTGATACTTTAAAAATAATTTTGCTTGGGACTAAAAAAAACTGTTTTAGCAGGCTAGCAACAGTACTGTGTTATTTTTTTTTTTTTCTGACAATATTTAATTAATTAAGTCATATATCTGGTGGCTTTTTAGAATCAGAACTAGCAATAGCTGATTTGTGATTGAATCAATCTTTTCAATGAATTGGCTGAACAGCTTAACAAAATCGATTCACAATTCAGTCTGCATTGTTCAGCTCACTCACCCACTGAACTGTGAAAGATTTCTAAATAAAACAGTAATAGGATACTTCAATACACAGAGAACAACAAGAGTGCTGATGCTGAATTAAATGTTTACCCAGAATCAGTTGAAACCTCTCTCTTTTTTTTTTTTTGGAGCTTGAAAACCCTTGTGTTTAAACACAGGTTTAAAATGATATTAGGGTGGGTAATTAAATGATAGAATTTAAATATTTGGGTGAACTTATATTAATCGCTTTTCCAACTGTCCATAGTCTTTCTATCTGATAAATCATCTCTTCGGCCTCTCTCTCGTGTTTTGTTCCTTATGTGGCACAGTCAGGGCTGAAGAAAGCCACCGACTTGCTCCTGTCGTAATTACCGACTTATTGTTCTGCATGTGAAAACACCGTCCAGGATTTAGCACTCACAGTTTTGGCTGCAAATTGAAAAGCTGCTGCATTAATGAATCTCAACCAATTAACTAGGCCTTTGTTAATACTGCTGTCATCTCACTCTCCACCCCCATTCACATAAACACATGCGCACACGTGAACGCACAGGCACAATAACACAGCTTTCCCTCCATCCTTCCTGACACTCTTAAATATCCTATTCTCCTCTATAAACTGTAAAGTTTGTTAGGCTCCACTGACTCTTTCCTGTTTGTAATTCGCTCTGTCTGCTCTGCTTTCGTTTTTGGCCCCGTGTCGTTTTCTGACAAGACTCTCATTAACAGTTGATATTCCACACGGCTTTCCACTACTCTACTTCCACACCAGCCCGAGAAGAGGAGTTACAGTGAAGGGAGACCTTTTGTTTTTGCCATTTTTCCCTTCAGAGTTTTCACAGAAATAAAATATAAAGCTCGAATTTTAGTGGGAGCTGTGGCTTAGTGGTTACTGCAGATACTCCTGACAAGTTGAGCCATGGTGCTCGTGTGGGTAATGCAGCTTCGATTCTGGCTTCTAACTTTTCCTGAATCCATTCAACTTTCCACTATTTCTCTCTATTATACAGTAGTTGGCTTCAGTCAACTAATATGATAAGGAAAATTGGCATTCCAAGTAGGGATGGGTCATGATGCAGAACTAGTTGAGTATTTGATTGGAGGTGTTGACTATATATATATATATATATATATATATATATATATATATATATACTAATAAATGCTTAAAATTAATTGTCATACAAATTAATTTTCACGTAAAGTCATTTTTCCACATTGAATTTGGAATCAGAGGTAGAATCACATGTAAAATTATTTTTTTTTGTTCTACTTTAGTTTAAAGACTTGGTTATAATAGTCTGTCTCCTCTTATCAGATTGGGATAGAATAAAGTTTTTGTTTATTGAAATAAAGCTGAAATAAAATATAAATAATGGATAAAAACTCAAATTAAAATTAGAAATGTTAAGTGAAATAAACATGTTTAAGTACTAAACCTAAACTACTAACTGAAATAAATATAAAAATAAGATATACAAACAAAATATTTTAAAAGTTACAAAAGCACGTTAAAAAACTACTAAAACTTAAACATTTTAAAATATGAAAATATAAAAATAAAAGCTAATTCATTTTCCCCCACATTGCATTTGGAATCAGAGGTAGAATTACATAAAATAATATTTATTTTGTATTCTGTTATAATTTTCTGACTGTCTTTTTTTGTTTTTGTGAAAAATAAATATTAGATGGAAAAATTTATATTTAAAAAACACAAAAATGAGAAATACTACTTTAGTAACTAACTGAAATAAAAAGAATAATTTGAAGTACTAAAATTACTAAAACTGAAAATAATATAAATTAAAGCTAAATGACTCAAATTAAAATGAAAACTAAAAATATAAAACTAAAAGCGTATTCATTTTATCACGCTGATTTTGGAATCTGAGGTAGATTGGCATGAAAAATATTATGTTTGTTCCACTTTAGTCTTAGTCCACTTTGCATTCACACTGTCAACAATACAAGATGTTAATATTGAATAACTTGAAATTCAGACTAATATTTTTTTTCTTAGCCATCAAAATATTTCAAGACGACAAAGCGTCATGTTTAGCTTTTGATTATGTAATAATCTTGACAGGCTTAGTCTTTCCTCAGTATGAATTGAGATAAAGTTTCCCCTATCATTAGCTATTTCTCTAAAATCATTGGGGTCAGTAGAATCAAAGCCTGCAGATTTGCATGGCTCGGTGACAAAGGCCAAAATTTTTCAGTTACCTCAATTACATAAAGCGTGACCTAGAAAGGAACCTCCTCATGCTGTTCTTCCCTGAAAAGGTTTTTAGAATGAAATGTT